GCTGTTTTGCCAGCTTCTCGATTTTCGCCATCGTGAACAGCGAAGTCCAATCGTATCGCAATAAAAATCGCAATAAGATCGCACAATAAGTCCGGGTGGGTCGCAGTCGCACAAGTGTACACTCGCAACGGCTCATAGCTCGGAACTACAGTGTCTGACCCGGAGCGGGCGGCTGTTAAGGGGTAGACCGGACTCCCAAAGCTGCGGTGGAGGCAGCCGGTCTAGGGATACTTCATTCGTGGACCACGAAACGATTTTTGGAATAATGGACGTACGACACACCAGCACGGATATGACGACAGGGCGATCACATGGAGTCTCTATGACCTGTTGATGACATGGCGGCGAAACGGAAGCCAGGGGAAAATAGCCTTACTGCCACATGCGGGGCTCTGTAGTAGCGGACGGATGTCTTCCCTAGCTACTCGTGTGAACAAGATGGATAATAAACTACAAAAAATACAATCTGAAAGACAGGATGGAGAGGAGTAAGTTGACCCTTTCAAAAGAAGGGACAGTCTGAAAAGGACAGATCATCTTCGTGTTCTGATATACATAGCCAACAGAGAGGCACAGAAGAGAGCAACCCTACAAAAGGGATATCAGCAGGCTCGAAGACAGGCTCTACGAGCTCAGTAAGGAGTGAAGGGATGTTAAACGCAACTGAAGAAGTACCCAGGCATAGAGCACCTTCCCAATCAGGAAAACGACTTAGAAGAGGACAAGGGTGAGGAAATGAAAAAGCTCATAGAAAAGGTAACGAAAACCGCTTTTACGTTAAGAGAACTCATAAATTCTACTCCAAACACGTGCGGAGATATCACGAAGGATATTATAAGGCTGAACCAGATAATGGAGGCACTAAATCTAAGGGTCTACCCTAAGGAATTTGGTCTGCGATGGGGTACTGAGGAGTAAATGGCCACATGGTGTAAAAGCCGCTGCGTTAGCGGACGACTTGGCAGTGATAGTGGCAGCGCAGGATGAGGAGGCCCTTATGCATGCGGCAAATTTAGCCCTGAGGATAGTGGATGACGGCCCATTACCTGGAACTCGCACTGCAGAAGACAGAAGCGGAACAAAGCTGGTATTACTTTTAACTGTAGGGGAACCTCCGTAACACCAAAGAAGTCTCTCAGAAGACGGCCCATTACCTGGAACTCGCACTGCAGAAGACAGAAGCGGAACAAAGCTGGTATTACTTTTAACTGTAGGGGAACCTCCGTAACACCAAAGAAGTCTATTAAGTACCTAGGAATTCATTTGGAAGAAGGAGGCCATTTTCGGGAGCATATTCGGGCAACGGCAGCAAAAGCAGACAGAAAAGCAGCACCGTTAGCAAGAATTATGCCAAACAGCGGCGGACCTACCAGCAACAAGAGGGAGGTTATAAACAGCGTGGTGCTTTCAAGATTACTTTACGGTGCCCCAATCTGGCACGACATAATGAGCACTACGAGTACAAGATACAGGCACATGTTCACTAGAGTGCAAAAGAAGACGCTGCTGAGAGTGGCGAGTGCTTACAAGACCGTCTCCACTAAGGGCTTACAAATTATTACAGGTATAGCACCGATCCATTTGCTTGTGTAAGAAAGAGTGAGGCTGCACCGCAGGGAAGATGGGAGAACCACGAGGGGCGGAAGGGAGGAGCGCGAGATCATCAGCAAATGGCAGGACGAGTTGCACTTAACGGAGAACGTGGCTCAGTGGACGAAAAAGCTGATACCTGACATCAGGAAGTGGATTGCTTGCAAGCACAGATGAACGGATTACCACTTAACGCAGGCACCGACGCAGCATGGTTCTTATCGAGTATTCACGAAGAGAGTACAAAAATCAGATAGCGATGAAAGTATATATTGTCAAAAAAAGACACAGTTGCACACACTCTCTTCGAGTGCAACAGATGGGAGCAACAAAGGGCACAAGTCGCTGTTAGCCTAGGACACGACCTGACGGAGAGCAATTTGACCAGCCCCATGATGGCGAACAACCAATCGTGGGCACAAATACAAAGATTCATCAGGGAAATACTATCCATTAAAGAGAAGGATGAAAGAAGAACGGACAGCCAAACTCCTAGGACATATACATGGAAATTGTTCTGCAGAAACCGCCGAGGAAACAAAGACAAGTGTAAGACACAGTCATGCTGGTAGTAAGCGCAGGCGAATCCCAGCATGAAGGTGAGGGAGGTTGTTTTAGCTCAGGTGGCATAACCTGAATGCGGATACTAGATATCCGGTATCAAGTATCTCTTGGTGATTTCCCCCAAAGAAAAAAAAGTAATGCCATCTCTGAAGCAAATTTTACATCATATCATAGCCAAACATTGATAACTGAAGTCTCATGTCGGTTGTAGTACAATTAAATGCACCTTCAATGTCCAGAAAGGCCACGAGTGCCACTTCTCGCTGATCTAGAGTGTGAAATGCGTTACCTATACAATTCTCTTTCAACCAAGAGTTTTCAGAATAAAAATAGTATAATATTCTTACCGATACGATGAAAACGTAAAAGCAACGTAACTGAAGTCGTCCTGTTTTTGGTGAGAACAGTGCCTCAAATGTCTAAAGTCTATACATACTGAGTTGTTAGTGTATGGTCAACCATCCGCTCGACAGACAGCGAGAACGAGTGAGAAACCTTGAATTGCGGTCCTGTTCGCGCTACTTTCGCTCTCAACACACTCGCGGTGGACTTGCACAGGTACTGTTGGACCAGCGAAAGATTGCAAGCCGAAAGAATGCGGACAAAAAATTGCGAAGTTGTCAGATGTTCTACATAAAATGCGGTCCATACATATTAACATATTTAAGATATAGAATTGTTCCGCTGAATTTGGCAATGTAGCTGGAAAACCCAGGCCGCAGGTAAACATCCGGTCGCTGATTGGTCCAAAACTCTTATCTTATCTGAAACTAGAATAACGTGCCGATGGCACGGTCATTTATAAACCTACTCCCATAGGCGTAGGCAGTTGGCAAATACTTTGAAAATATAATTTACTGTTTAGTGGTGATAATGGAATTCAAGCATGGGAAAGTTATTCACAGCCAGGCAAGGGAAATAATAGCAAACGTGATACGTGCTTGCGATGCAGAAGCGGCTAACAATACTTTCGTTTATCCACTGGTAGCTAGAAATGCAAGGGCGGCATATTATACGGGTGTTAGTGAACGAACTATAAGTAAAATTAGAAAAGAAGATAAAGACAGGCAAAATGCAACCTCCACACAGCCTTTAGCTTCTCCCGGAAAAAAGAGATCACGCCCTTCTGTGATCCAAAAAATTGATGGAGTCGATTTTTCCATTATTCGGAGAATGATAGAAAAATTTTACTGTGATTTTAAAGTGGTACCTACTTGTAGTAAACTTCTAATCAAACTGAAGGAAGAAATGGAATTTCCATTTGGTAAAGAATCGTTGAGGCTGCTTTTAAAAGCAAAAGGATTTTACTGGCGTAAATGCCACAACAAAAGGAAATTACTAATGGAAAGACCCAGTATTTTACATTGGCGATACAAGTATCTTAGGTCTATTAAAAAGTTCCGGGAAGAAGGAAGGCATATTATTTATTTGGACGAAACTTGGGTTGATAATGACCTCACTTTCAAGAAATGCTGGCAAAGCGAAGAAATTATGGGTGTCCTGAGCAATATAAGTTCTACAGGTAATAAAGTTTCTTTCACCTCGATTTTGCTTATTATACATTTTTCTCAATTTTGGAATATTCTTAATAAGTGCTCATTTAATTTGTCTAATTGAATACATAATCCCTTGCAAGTATTTTTTTCTCAAAAATATGTTTTTTATACATAGTGATTCAAAAAGGTGTTGGCAAACTTAAAATAACACTAAAATGAGGCTATTTATTCATTTCCAGGACGACTTATAATTGTTCATGCGGGTTCGCAAGATGGTTTTGTTCCTGGAGCCTGTCTCATTTTCAAGGCTGGCTGTGCCACTGGTGATTATCACGGTCAAATGAACCAAGAAAATTTCACGAAGTGGCTTACTGAAAAACTATTTCCTAACATTCCTCCTAATAGTATTATAATAATGGATAATGCACCTTACCATTCAGCTTTGGAAGACAAGCCTCCAACTAGATCTTCTCTAAAAAGAGACATCATCACGTGGTTGAGCAAAAAAGGTATAGAGCATGATCCTAATGCTAAAAAAATGGAGCTTTATGAAATAGCTTGTCTACATAGGCCACCATCTGATGAGAAAAATTATAAGATAGATAATTTAATAAGAAGTTTCGGACACACCCCACTTCGAACGCCACCCTATATGTGTCAGTTTAATCCCATAGAGATGATTTGGGCACAAGTAAAATTTTTCATTAGAAGCCATAATACAAGCGGCGAATTTACTATAAAAAAACTAGATGAAATTTCTAATAAGGCCATCGCTTCAGTAAGTGCCAGTGACTGGCAAAAGGTTATTGGACATGTTATAAAAATTGAAGATGAATATTGGGAAAAAGACAGTCTCATTCAAGAAATACAGGAAGAAATAATAATCAACATAGGAGGTGAAAGTGATAGCAATGACAGTTCCTCAGACAGTGATCATGACTCTAATCAGGATTGAAACTATACTAGATTGGCTACCTTTTAGAATTTTTAGATATTCATTTATTATACTATTGGTTTGTGGCTTTTAGTATCTCAGTAGAAAGTCTAATTCTATGTGTTGTTTATGGGTTATTTCATCAAGAAATTACTTTTTGTTTTCCTATATTTTTCTATTCAGTCAGATATTTTTGACTTGTTGTATTCTATTTTAGAAGAATGCATAATTTGTTTTGCTGTTCAATCATAATGCGTACATAGGAATATTACTTGTTGCCTAAAAAATATATTTATTTTGTTCTCAATATTCAGTGTTTGTGTATATTTATTTCTTATAATGTATGTTTGGTATCACGTCATTATGAATCGCAAAAAAATATTAATACTACCAGTTGTAATAAAATATAAATTCAATTAATAATTCAAGTCTCTCCGATCTCCGCCTATGACTCCATATAAAATCGTCTAATGGTAAGGTTTTTTCATCGCATTTCCCCCTTTCGTCCCTAGCAATCTTTGGCTGGTCGATCAATAAGACCGCTTACCGCTTGCTTGTGCTTGTGCCGGGCCGGTGTTGAGTCACGCATTCTGACATACGCGCAGGCAAGAACCAAGAACCCTATGCAAGAACCGTTTGGAAAAGACTCGACAGCATACCTACGCGAACCGCTGCTACTTGCGGTACGACGATATTTGGGCGGTCGAGTGCGTGCGAAAACGGTACCAAAAGTGAACCAACTGCTACTGTGATACGACTCGCGTGACATGGACCGACGTGCGGGTGTACGAAAGGTGGTGGCTAGGTGACATAAAGGTTGATATGGACTGAGGCAAAGAACATGTGGACTTTTTGGCTTATTCTTTCCCTGATAGGTAGGTATAGTTAGTTCAAATGAACACTTTCGTAGGCTAATGTGGTAACAGATGTTAGTGTTTCAAGCACTGTACTTCAATAACTGCTAAAAAATTATAGCTTCTATGCAAGATTGGGTTTTAAATGCTTATGAATAAATTGTCACATGTAAAACTTTAAAGGAAAATGTATCAAATGTTTGTGTTCTGGAAGACGTTTCTGCACCAGTTCTTGTTTGAAACTAGCTGTACATGCTATCCATTATATTGCAGTGCAAAGGCAAATCCCTAGTTCACATTAGTTTGAGCGCTTCCAAGCCGACCCCAAATTCAATGAGCTTTTCCTAAAGTCCAGGTTTTAGATTCTTATCTTAAAGCGAAATTTTGAAAGTGGGAAATAGTTCTGAGATCGCAACATGCTATGCCATAAATTTCTGTAATAGTACTCATAGAAACCATAGCATGCGATGTTGGATAAAATCATGTTTTCATAGGACTGCTGAGCGCCTCCTCCAAGATATAAAATGCCCAGAAGATTACCTGCTACTTTTCTCGAATGCTGTACTTTTGGCCCAAAACTTTAGGTGGTGACCCAGGAAAGAAATATGAGAGAAGCATATCTGATATTTTTCAGAGAGGCACTGATGCCAGAATATTGAAACTGACCCGTTTGATCAACTACAAATTCATTGTAGTTCAGTCCTCTCTTCCATCGTCGGACAGCGTTGTGGTTTTCCAGCAGCTGGAAAGGTTTTGCATTTGGCTGTTTAATGCAGCCCTTACTCATGCCTATCCGCTACTTTCTTGATTTTGTCAATACACAATGTTCTGCATAACCCCATTCTAAAATCTCTAGATAATTGCAATGTTAGAATCCTTGGAACAGCTCTCTATAGTTCGAAGTTATAGAACCACCCAGGTTTTAAGATTATAATAATTGATATTATTAATTTGCTATAAAGTCGTATCTTTGAAGATCCCACCAGCAAACAATAATGTCTGCAGTGAAGGTTAATTTCTTCCCTCTTTTGTTTAATATAATGCTTTAACTTAAGTCAGGTACCAAACGCCAAGTAGTTACAATGCTTAGTAAAATTCAGTGATAGGTATATTTGGTTATCATCATTGTTCATATAAATTTTACGATATTGAAAGCAGTTAAAGTATTTCCTAAAGACATCTTTATGGTCGAGGGTACAAAAAATATATATACAGACCTATAATACGCAGTATGATTATTGTCATCTGTTGTGGTTTCTACTTTCCCAGTTGTCACTGCAAATTTTATATTGTGTGGTGAAACTACTTTTCTACATCATGTCCAGCAAAGCGCGTAAAACGTTTATTTACGTTGATTAGAATAATGTTCCAAGTTTGGTATATACAGGTCAGGAAGTTTTATCTTGCCTTGGGATGCTAATATTAGATGGATATCTTATAGGATTGAGGATAAGTGAAATCTCAACTGTAAAACTAACCAGTCGATTTTTGCACTTATTTTTTGTCAAGAAAAGCGATCTTACTATTCAAGTGTGTCTATAAAACTTAACGATCATATAAAGAATAAACAATAGATTCCTTACCGAAATATCTTTTATATATACATATAAGTGCAATTCATTGTTTTAAATAAATAGGACTCCTGCAATTAAAGAATAAATGCCAATTCAGAGCACTACGTTCCGGATTTCATAAACATATCAAAGTCAAAATCGTTAACTCAAGATACTCATTAGCATTTGAATCATGGTGCAAATACCTTTTGCCGCGGGTGATATGGCTGATTTTAATGATGCGTTAGCACAGAAACCTGAAGCCGTTGGCTTGAGACCCATCAGGAACGTATTTTTTACTGTACTATGTCATACACATTAAAGATCGCTGATTTCTGTATGACAATTAGTGAATAAATGTTTTGAGGATATTAAAGTTTAATACACAAATTATCGATCATTAATTTTATTATTAAAAGCATCTCTTCCTTTAGCACAACTAGTAAGCATAAATGTAGTGACCTCACTGCTATAAAGTGTCGAAATTACCTTGCTAAACTACATCAGTCATACATGTTTCCGTTTATAATTTATATATCATATGAATCTAAGCTCAACGAAATTAATCTTAAAAGTAGTCAATCCAATCTTACGTCAGTAAATATACAAATATTACGCCAACAATTTATAAAATATTCTATTTTGTTTTTATGTATATCTCCATCATTCTGAGGTAAATTTTTAGATTTTTTTAATACCTTTTTTCTTCTCCTTTTTCTAATAGGTTTTTCGGTCTTGTACATTTGTATTCTTCTATTTATAGGGGATTTTTGTTTTTTACTTCTATTCATTCTTGTATTATAGTTATAGATGTCGCTATTCTTTTCTAGTTCTATATTTATTTTTATGATTTTATTATGAATTCGGTGTTTTAATCCGATTTGTACAAGGCTTTTTAATTTGGGACTAGAAGATTTGTGGTTTTGTTGAGGTATGCGGGTTGATAGCATTATTATATCTTTATTTTAGAGTCTTTGTAATTTTTGAAATAAGGTAATATTAGTGCTTCCCCAGCATGGGATCAACTTATGAAAATGTGGTTCAATGCAGCTATAGTATAACTATCAATCTAGTGTTTGAGTCTAATTGATATGAGAATCTTCTTATCCACTTCATCCAATCTTGTGAGAGGTATATTGTTTTATTTAATTGCTGGATTTTTGTTTTGCTCCTTTTTTATCATTATGCCATGGAAGCTGTTTTTCAGTATGTATGCTTAAGTTGTTGTAACAAAACCAGTTATAGTAATTAATGAGGTCTGTAGTAAGATAACTCTGAATTTCTTCTTCATTCAGGCCAGAATACATTAATACAGTGTCATCCGCAAAAAAACAGGTTCTTTTAACATAGCCACAGATATAGTTGTAGTCACCGTTCTGGGCGGTTATGTCATCAACGCCTTATGAAATAAGTAAACACTGCGCAGACTAATCTTCAGCGCATCTGCTACTCTCTCCAGTACGCATGAAGTGGGTAACAGGGGAGCAGGGGACCGCTGTTTTCATTCTGGAAATACTCTAATAAATTTTGTACGAGCTGTCGCCCTTCTCCATTGATCGTTTTTCATCGTACAATTTTATTTTGAAGATTGATAACAGGACAACTGAAATTGCACGCAGATGTCAAGTAAGTTGTCACTCTGACATATATGAATGAAGATATAAAGAGATACTGGTAGTATTACTTTGACCCGGTGACTACAACCACGAGCCCCTTCCCACTTCAGTTGGCCCACTTCAAGATTTGTACCAAAATATGCCTTTATAAACTAAACATGACGAAACTATTTACTTCTAAAACAATTTATTTTCTCAAAAACATTTTAGATACACTCTAGTCGTAAAAAATACATATTTGAAATCACTTAGACCTATAACTAATAGAACATCTGAACAAATAAACAATGTGCGAATAAATGCGCGAAGTTAACAAACCAACAATTGAAAGATTACCATTGGGTAACATCACCTTTATTTTTTATTACGGCTGAAATTCTTTGGGGCATAGTGTAAACCAAGTTTTGGCAAAAATTTGGTGTAAAACAATCCCATTTTTCTTGAAGCTTTTGTCTCAGTTCGGTGATTGTACGAGCAGGATGTTATCCTAGAACCATTTTCATCTCGTGCCACAAAGTTTCAATAGGTGACAGATCTGGACTGCTAGAAACCCCTTTCAGAAGTGGTACATTATTTTCTTCCATCCATTTTATAGCCTTTTTTGAGGTATGGCACGCTGCACCATCTTGCTGAAACAGAAAATATTGGCCGGATGTCAAACATTCTTCCATCACTGGTAAAAGCGATTCTTCTAAAATTGCCAAATATTTGTTTGTATCCACATTTCCATCAATAAAATTAAGTTTTCCTACTCCTTTTGATGACATTCTGCCCCAGACCAGAATGGATGCTGGAAATTTCACTTTTCTCTTCAGACAGTTAACATGGAATGCTTCATTTTTTTTGCGAATAACTCTACTGCGACTATCATCAACACAAACTTCGAATCGGGCCTCATCACTCCATTGTATTTCACACCATTGTTGAGGTGTCCATTGTCTATGTTCTTTAGCCCATCTAAGCCTATTTTGCAGTGGAGTTAATAGTTGGCCTATAAACAAGTTGTGCAACTTTAGGGTTTTTACTTCACTTTTTTATAAGAAAACGTACCTTGTAAGTGCTAAATCCCAGTTTGTGGGCCTCTCTTTGAGTTGTGGACCTCGAAATTCTCCTTCCAACAGCGTCACTCCACAGAGCACTTAATTGTAAATAATTGGCACGCCTGTTTTTCACGATTATTCTTCTTAATGCTGTTCGTTCGGCATTTGTGATATTACTTTTTTTCACATATCGTGACTTAATATTAACTGAACCAGTTACGTTATATCTTCTAACAATATTTCTCACACTGTACCGCGATAAGTCTAACAAAGTTGCAATTTCTGAGTTTGATTTCCCAGAATTAAAAAATTTAATTATCAGTAACCGAATTTTCTCACTAATAACCTTTTATTTGGCATTGAAATGAAAATAGGTTGATATACTGTAATTGCAACATGTGTTATTTTTATGCTGCAAATTTGATTTTAAACCTATAACACCCTGCTACATTTTTATTATTTGTGTTTGATAACAAAAAAACTAAGATTTCAATAGTTGGGCCAACTGAATTGGGAAGGGGCTCGTATATTTAAGACTGTGTACATATAAACGATATTGTATTGAACCCATTACTGAGCCCTGTGCAACCCCAATATGAAGAGTTTGTATTTTGCTATTTTTTCATTCATTACAGTGAAATGCCTCCTACAATCTGTTAAACCAGATCTTTTTGTCATTTTGTTCGCCAAGATTTTTCCTATAGTTGGAAAATGATTATTCATTTAGCAAGCAATAGGTATATTCATTATAGCCCAATCTTTTCTGTTTTTATGATCAATTTTAGATACATTTTATTTTAGTTTTCGCGACA